GCACCCGGGTTAGCCACGCCATCTCTGACGGGTCTCTCTACAAAACCGGTGACGATGTGATCACACAAAACCAACAAGGAAAGTCAGAAAAAACGAAATAAATTGACAACACAGATATAAATGTTTGTCCGTGAGCCACGGTTCGATGTCGCCCGCATGCTCCGGTGCCATTGCTCCGTCCGGCGCCGCTGTAGTCAGCCCGAGCAAAACGTCACTCGACCTGCTCCGTCCGTACAAGCTCTCGTTGCTGTCCTTCCCAGTCCGTTCCTCGCTTTCTCCCTCATTACACTCAAGGTTCTTGGTCTGAAAAAAATAAAAATTCTCGCGCCGAATGGTCAACCAGCCTAGTTCAGCTCGTCGCCACCTGCTCCCTCCTCCTTTGATGGCGAAGCCAGGTTACTGAGGCAATGCAGCGCCCTCTAGCAAACCTAGGGCCGTGTAGTGCCCGTCCACCTTTCTGATGGTGTCTGCCTCCGCGCACAAAAATGAGATGGGCATCACTGCCTACGCCGACGGCAAGAAAGGCCCGCGCATGTACATTTTCCCGCCTGACCCCATCAGTGCCGACCCAACTCCACCACCACACGCACGCCTCGCGGCGGATGCGCAGCAGCAACAAGGTTTCGGTCATCCCTTGAGGGTGAGTCTAGCCCTGCTCGCCAGAAAGACCCCCCCCCTTCGGTACAACCCATGTCCAAGCATATCTTGTCGAGGAGCGAGGGGAAGAAGGGAGAGTGCGTCGTGCCATCAGAAGATCTAAATAACACACACACTATTAGCAAGAAAAGGGTACACAAAGCCGGAGGAGGTACACCTACAATCCCTGCAGCACGTTTGCGTGCTCACAACTGAACTACGCGCCCGCACACTACAATTCGACTGTAGCAGCAGCATCACCCCCCTTGTCCCGCATTTAACCACAATGAATGTTGGTCGACTACAGCGCTGTCTGAAGTGCTGTCTGTACAATAATAACACCATGGTGCATGGTACACAAGCTCGGGGCATGCAGCTGCTGTCTGAAGTGCTGTCAGAATGAGTTCGTGGACATACAATCAAGAAGAATACCCAACCAAAGCCATCATTGCAATTGACAATCACCCGAATCTATCCAGATCATCTGTGTTAGGCACAGCAGTGTAAACATCGACAGTGACTAGGGATCGTTCCACATTGAAGGGGTCTTCCACGATGCAGGTTCACAATTAAGGCACCCGGGTTATCCGCGCCATCTCTGCCGCGTCTTTCTACAAAACCAGTGACGTCATCACACGCACTCAACACCTATTGGAAAAAAACGTAAAAT